AAACTAGGGTTTCTTGAACCCTAAAGCTACTATACTACTATCACCGTATAGGACAAGTATGTCTCGTCGTCACTTCTGCCATATACTCCTAGTGTCCGGTCGTTTCAACCGGCCCTCAACACATCAATCAGTCAAAAAGAGGCAAAAAAATTATTAAATATCCATATATATATATATATATTACTCAGATAAAATAAAGAAAAATTAAATCAGGGATTGTTAGTCACCAAAAATAAGGTAATCATACCCTATCTTCTCACCAGCACAAGCACAGGGCATCATCATAACATGTACACCATAAAACAAATAAATGAGACCACTTTCAAGGATTCTAAAATAAAAGGATAAGACCGAAGAGGAGTTCGAACTAAAAAGAGAAAAAAATGAAATATACCTCTCGATTTGGACCATCACTTCGTTGAAGACGAGAATAATATTTGGACACCAAAGGTAGTCATTCTCTCTTTCAGGTGTCATTATTTAGGGAGGGAATAGGGGTGAAAACAAGGTTGTAGGGGTTCATTTTGTCTCGGGTTCGAAAAAGGTAGTGATAAGAAGGTCACCGACCGCTTATAGAGGTCGTGAAAAGAGGTGACCGGAAAGGATTTGGTCCCCTCTCTTGACTGATTTGGAAATGGAGAGAAGAGGATGGTAAGAGGAAAATGGCCGAGATAATAAAATGGGGAGAGTTAGGATTTTTTTTGTTATAATAAGGTATATAAACAAGCCAAAATAACACCGTTTAATCCCTTCCCCACCTCGTTTTTTTTATAACTTTAGGGGTAAAATATAGTTTTGGCCATTCAACCTTTATAGCATTCGATTTTAGTCCTGAAATGACATGGGATATTAACGATTTTGAATTTTAAATGTTATATTTCTTGTATTTTGATCACCATGTGTTATTAAATGGCTACGGTCAAATGCTTGATTTGGCCTTGACAATTTGAGATTGGTTTCATTTTAGTCCATTTGTTCGTAATACATTCGAAACTACTATACTGCCCTACAAGTAGGATTGGGATTGAGGAAGTCAAAATGACCCTTAGAAAGATGGGGAGGGACAAAGCTGTCGGTCCAGATCAAATTCCTATCACTGTGTGGTTGACCCTAGGAGAAGAGGAAGTTAAGTGGTTGACCAACATCTTTAATATTATTTTAGAGACTGCCAAGATGCCAGAGGAGTGGAGAGAGTCTACGGTGATACCAATCTATAAGAATAAAGGAGATCCCTAACATTGTGGTAACTACAGAGGTATTTAACTACTTGGTCATACCATGAAGCTATGGGAAAGGGTGATAGAGGCAAGGTTGTGACAGGTTACTAGGGTTTTGGAAAACCAATTTGGCTTTATCCAGGCAGGTTTACTACGGAGGCGATTCATCTACTTCGATGGCTTATGGAGAAATATAGGGGAAAAATAGAGATCTTCACATGGCGTTCATTGACTTTGAGAAGACATATGATAGCGTACCCCGCGATACGATCTGGAAGACCTTGGAAACGAGACGGATCTCAAATGCTTATATCTGGGAGATTCATGATATGTACTGTAGATCTACTACATACGTCAGGACTATAGTTGGCAACACCGAGGCATTCCCGGTAGAAATCGGACTCCACCAGGGGTCGGCTTTTAGCCCTTACATCTTCACCTTGATTATGGACGACATCTATTGTGTGACACCAGACGGTGTTCCATGGTGTATGCTTTTCGTTGACGACATTATCCTAGTTGTTGAAACAAAAAATGAGCTGAATAGTAGACTGGCTACCTAGAAGACTGCTTTGGAAGAAAAAAGTCTAAGGATCAATATTGAAAAGACAAAGTATTTATGTTCAAACTTCAGTGGGAACCAAAACGATGAAGATGTAAAAGTATGCATCGAAGGATACGTTCTCCCTTCAAAGGATTGTTTTAAGTACCTAGGGTCCATGATACATAAATATGGGGTGTAGATGATGACATTACACACCGTATAAAGGTGGGATGGCTAAAGTGGAGGGTTGCTACTGGAGTTTTGTGTGACAAGAAGGTGCCTCTAAAAATTAAGGGAAAATTTTATAGAATGACAATAAGACCAGCGCTGCTGTATGGATTAGAATGTTGGGTAATTAAGAAGGATAACGTAAGGAGGATAGAGGTCGCAGAAATGAGAATGCTTTGATGGGCATGTGGTAGGACTCTTTGGGACATGACACTAAACTCTGCAATTAGGATGTCTTTGGGGGTGGTGCCTGTATCCAAAAAATTGAGGGAGGGAAGACTACGATGGTTTGGACATGTCCTTAGGCGACAACCGTCGGATGCGGTCAGGAGGGTAGAGTCGATTATAGTCGACGGTGCCAGAAGGAGAGGACGACCAAGGAGGAAGTGGGTAGACTTCTTGAGATCTGATTTGATGGATTTAGCCCTTACCGAGGACATGACCACTGACAGGAAAGTATGGAGACTTAAGACCAAGACCAGGATAGCCGAGTAGTGTGGGACACAACCATAGGGTGTAGCATCATCTGTCTTCTTTTTAATGTCTTTGTAGTAATTTCCATGACTTTTACTTTTTATACGTTTATATCATTGGAATTTATGAAGGCTTAGAACTAGGGTAGCGGAGTAGTATTGCCTTAGTTTAGGTTTTAACCCATTTGACTTTATTCCTTCTCGTAGCTTGTTATCACCGACTACGGTGTATCATTATCTTCATGTTTCCTCTTTTTAAATTTAACTGGGACTTACATTTTTGTCTATATGTAGAGATTTTTACACATGGATTTATTTGCAGGGATTATTTCCCATTACAGACGCGCATATGAAGACTACATATGAAGACTGTTTAACTATGTATTTATTTATTTATACATGCATTGTATTTTATCTTTATTTTTAATTTTCTGACTGCCGGAGGTCTTCCACGGAAGCTGCTCTCAACCTTGTGTTGGGGGCAGCCTACTACCCTACCTCTCCCTTACCCCATTGCATATGGGAATAGGGTTTTGTTATTGTTGTTGTTGTTAGCTATTTTGTTTATTTACCCCTGTTTAGTTCTATTATATTTTAAAATTATTGCATTAATATTTCATATGTTGTTTATTACTACTGCACTCATATGTCATACATTTAGTTTCTCGTTTTCTGAAAATTTAAAGGCAATGTTATCTTGCATCGTGGGTTAACGAAATTACTTCCAACGTAACTGAATTTCAATTTATGTTGATTAACGTAGTAAGGGAACACCCTTTTTAAATAAAATTGAGTGAATTTAAATCACCTTTATCGAGCCAAGTGTTTTATAAATAGATTAACTATTTTCAAAATTCATAAGAAGTTAAGAGGATCGTAACTTAAATTTAAAATTCAAATATGTAAAATTCCATAGTTTTAAACAACGTTTAATGGAGGGTACCAGTTTTGGGTGTTATGGGGAGTGCTCACCCTTCTCTACCGTAATCGACTCTCGGATCCATAAAACGAATTTCTAGTTATATGCACCCAATTTTTGTCTTAAAAATAAATTTTCTTAAAAATTATTTTAAAATATGTTTTTAGGTATTCGACCTACCTAATCTAAAGGTCGATGACAACTCCAAATTTCAAATTAAATGCAAATTCATACTTTCTAAAATAAAGTCATAATTATTTTTAAATTAATTATTTAATAAAAATTGGTTATGACATGAGGAATTGCCCGTCCAATTCAGTTGGTAAGAGCGCAAGGCTCTTAACCTTGTGGTCGTGAGATCAAGTCCCACGGTGGGTAATTCATAATTCTGATTGCTGGAGGTCTCCCATGGAAGCTGCTCTCAACCTGGCGTTGGGGGCAGCCTACTATCCTACCTCCCCCTTATCCTGTTACATATGAGAATAGGGTTAGCTAATTGTTTTGGTTATGACATGAGGTATATATTGATATGGTACTATTCAAACAAGAAAACTAAATCATTTGTTTATCAAATAAAAATATTTTTTAATTCTCAAATAAATAAATAAATAAAGTAGTATAGAGAAGTATGATCGATCCACATAAACTAAAGAAGTTTGATAACATCGTTTCTCGGATTGAATCAACTACAAAAAAAGGGAATTTTAAAATTAATGAAAGCAAATAAATAATAAAAAAACATTTCAAATATCCTTTAATTTTTCGATGGTGAAACATCTTCTTTTAAATCTCAATAATTGTGGATGGAGAAGGAGGAAGCGAGTTATATATCTTAGTTTTATATTAATCAGATGGTGGGTATAATAGATTAGAGTGATCTAGGATTTTAATAAAAAAAATTGGGGTTGAATTTTATAAGTTTTAAAATGATTTAGGTAAAATTTAAATTGATAGAGTGGTAGAGACGATGAAAGGAGTTCGCCAATTCTTGAGTATAAAAAAAGACAAAAGAATGATAATTTTAACACGAACGTGAGATATGAATGAAATTGTAAAACTTTTAACTTTAAAGAAAGAAGATAAAATCGAAAAAAGATAAAATGACATGGACGACATGTGAATGTCATATCAGCAAAACTCAGCCCACATTTGCATACATAGCTTTCATGTCACTTTTTTTTATAATTTATTTAATACTCGAATAATCAAAATAAAAATAAATTAAAAATTTTAAAAGTAAATTATTTTATTTTAATTTTTAATGGATAAATAAGAGTGAAAAAATTTTAATGATAAAATTTATAATTTACTTAATTATATATAAGGGTATTTTTATAATTGACTGTTGAGTTCGGACCGAGAAGTTTTGATCTTAAACCGGAACTCATTACAAATCTAATTCTCCGTTTTCTAAAATTCTTCTCGAACATTATTTAAAAAAATATATTTATATTTTTTATTAAGTCAAATCAAAATTCATAGAATACCAGTTTTTTTTTCATTCCATGCAGCTTTTCGGGAGATCGGATAATACATCAAAAGACATTGTGCCACGTGCCATGTAAAATAAAACTCATAAAATAAGAGATAACCTAAGCCAGTCACCGATTTCACTCAATACTCCAAAACCCAAATTCCCTATTTCCTTTTTTTTTGAAAAAGAAAAAAGCTTTACCACTATTCTCTTTCAACTTTAATTTTGGATTTCAATTTATAGAGTTGGAAATGGCAGTTACTAGGACAAGTGCAAATATGATTACCAAACTTCTCCACCATCCTCTACTATCTTCCATTTCCTTCTCATCTTCTGCTCGTCCTCTTCTTCCTTCCCCCTGGAACGCCACCGTCCGACTTACACCCAATCGTGGAATCAGTTTCACCCGTATCCGTTGCGCCGATTCCGACGCCGACAGAAAAGTCTCCGCTCGCCTTTCTCAATTCCAACAGCTCCTTCAGGAAGCGGAAGAACGAGCCAGTGCCGACGGCAATGAACCCACTCCTCAAATCACTCTGGGTAATAACCAATTTAATAAAATTTCTTTTTTCACTCTTAAAATGTCCGGGGGCCACACCAATTTTACTATTCTAATCAATTTCTTCTCGCTAACCTCCGGTAGTTCTAAAAGGGGTAAACTATACCTGTAGTATCTAAATTATTATTTTTTATTTTGTTTTAGTATCAGAGTTATTATTTCTTTTCATTTTGGTTTGTTGTTCTTAAAAAATTTACAGTGATATTGACCTGTTCTGTTAGTTTTTTAACATCAAATACAAAATTGAAACATAAATTAAACATATGGTTTTGAAATAAAATATAAAATTTGGCTATCAAAATGGAACAAAACTAATACTTTAGGTATTTAATATGAGTTTACTCTTCTAAAAATCATTATTTTTAGGGTAAATTACTTATTTAATTAAATAATTATCACTTTAGTTCCATTTTGGTCATTCAACTATAATTATTTTCAATAACGTGTAACCAAAATAGAACTTTTAAGTATGATTTTCAGAAAAATATTTGATTAACCAAAACAGAACTAAAGTGGTAGTTGGGTGACTAAATAGGCAATTTACCCTTTTTTAACCATTGTGCCGATTTTATATGCTGAATTACACTTGAATAACTCTTCACAGATCATGTTTCCGTGAGTTTTGCAAGGAGTGGTGGCCCTGGAGGTCAAAATGTAAACAAGGGTATTGTATCTTCTTTATGTTTCGGAGTCCATTTCATTATATTCCCTTAATCAATACTCTGCAAGATTTATAGTGGATTACTTTTGCTGCTTGAATGTTCAGTTAACACCAAGGTGGACATGCGGTTCAATGTAAAACAAGCATATTGGCTAAGTGATAGGATCAGAGAACGGATTATGCAACTGGTTTGTTCGTTGTCTTCTATTGTTTTAAAGATTACTCATTTTCCATCAAGATAAAAACTGAAGTGTCTTCATGGTGGTCGTACTGATTGGTTGTGCATTGATTATTTTACAGCCCTGTTATTGTTTGTGCAGTAATGCTAGTATCAACGAGCAATGTAGCTTCTATATGGTAGTAATTTGGAAAGAAAGGGAGTGACTTGATATGATTGGAGGCCTTATATTTGGCAAGAAAATGATCAGGCTGAATATGGATGAAATCAGATAAACTTGATTCTCTAACAATTTCTTTTGAACTTGAGTGTATGCTTAATTGAATGAGTGGAGATGAGCTAAACACATCTTCAACATGGATGAAAGTGCTCAAATTTGAGTACTGAAAATGCTCTTCGGATATGAGAGATGACCCTGATCTTACTACTATGAATCAGAGTCTTCAACTAGGGAGCTCTAACCAAAGTCACATAAATTCGACATGTTTGTACTAACCCCATAATACACATTTGCTTGCTGTTTAGATTTCCCTACTTCTGGTTTTGTCGAGGAATTCTCATCTCTCAATGACCTCAAATCACTATGAACAGGAAAAAAACAGGATAAACAAGGATGGAGAAATTGTGGTATCGTCAACAAAAACTAGGACACAGAAGTTTGTTTTTCTCCCTTGTTTCTTGTTGTACAGTTTTCTTTTCATTCATTAAATATGTATTCATTTGAGTTATATTTTGTTCAGGGGAAACATTGATGATGCTCTGGCAAAACTACAGGTGCTGAAACAGTCTCTTTTTAGCAATTATAATTTTCTGCCATTAGCAGACTGCCGTGCCTAGTTTTTGGTTGTTATCCATTGAAGATGCAGTTGAACATATCTCATTTGCTTTAGTGTCATACTTTTGCAATTCTATGATTTGCTGTTGATCTTTTGATTTCTGAACATTGTGATTGACTGTATCATGTTCTTGCCGTTTTTGCTTGAACCAAACAGGCAATCATTGATGCTGCAGCCTATGTGCCACCACCCCCATCAGAAGAGCAAAAGAAGAAAATCGCAAAGATGTAAGTCTTCATCACATTTACTAGTGGCAATTCGATCGGGATTGCAATTTATTTGTGTTTCGATGCTTGTTGCAGAGCTGCAATCGGGGAGCAAAAACGCCTCAAAAGCAAGAAAGTCCTTTCCGACAAGAAAGCGTTTAGAAGAAGTCGGGACAGTTGGGACTAAATCATGGAATCATGACTGGTAATGTTTATAAAGAGTTGGAAGATGATCAAATCTCAGTGGAGAAACAGAGATTCATGGTTGGGGAAAAGAACTACTACGTCTTGTCAGTGTAATACTATAGGTTGTTGAGGCTCATCATTTGTGTAAGATATTACACACTTGACTTCATGTTTATGTTTGTCATAGCTAATGATATTTCGAAGATTTACTGTTATAGGGTCTTTTAGCAAATAATCAATTGTCATGTACATAATTGCTTCTTTGCCTATAGGAAAGAAAGATGAGAAATAGATTGCAGAAAGTAGAAAATATGGGGGGAAAATCTCCTTGAGACCCTTAATAATTGATTCAAAAAAAGTGATTTGAATATTATAAGCTTGAACATTTATGAACATGTCAAGAGTCGAGAACAAAAAAATTCTAGAGTAGTTGGAGATGCATCTACTATCTACTTGCATATTCTTCCCCCGATTGTTGATCAATATGCCCCCGATTGTTAATCAATATGCCTGATCCACCGCCTTTTACTGGAATTTCCACCACTGGCTGCTACAGCGATATCCAATCCTTCCCCTACGGGAAGAAACAAGGAATATATGAACCGACATGATCCATCATCTGTGACACTTCTCCAACTGAAATTCAAATCTCTACTGGAATTAGCATTCTTGCATACCATAACTGCTCCATTGTTGCTCAGTTTTCCTAGCTGAAATACCCTGGAAAAGTCGTCTCGCTGGCTATCCACCACCATGAAATCTATTCCGTTTAATCATCTCATTAAAGCCTCCGGTTGTCCAACAGTTACTTCCGGTGACATGCCGGCCACTTCCAGGTTCCGAATGTATTCTAGCCTCGATCTTTCATCAGGGACTATACATACATGTCCTCCATCCGTATGGCTGCTAGCAACCACCAGGCCAATGCTCGTTGCGGTAGCTCCACCGTGTGACCACGTCTCCACAATGAATCTCAGGTTCCAGCCTGCTGCCATGGCTGAAACAAGCTCTGCTACACCAGAATCATGATAAAGTTCACACTGCAAACAAAACAGAAAGGGAACAGATCAATCGAATGGAACAATAAACAGACATCAGAGAATATCAGAAGGCTTGCTTATTTAATGCTTACAAGTTTAACAGTATCAATATAAGCCTTGGATGCTGTCTCAGGTGACCAAACTAGCTTCATTTTTCTCAGTGACTTTCAAGTTTCAAGTTGTGATCTTGTTGCAGGACAATCTTAAAATGAAAAGGAAGCTGGGTGTTGGGTTTTATAATGGAGACAAAACAAAGATGCCCATTGATGTATCCAAACAAAGACAAATCAAACGTGTGGTGAGATTAGGATTGATCGAAGTAGTTGCCTCTACGACTGACATGAAAGAACCTGGTTTTTCGTAATCTTTTCAATTGTCACTATCCCTGGTGATCCACGGCAATTTCAAAGCATAATGACTCGGTGCTACGACTTGTATTTTGGTAAGTTTGTTTGATAAATAATTAGTCAATGAGAGAGAATGGAAGCATCTACGCGGTTTAGCCTACTTTGGGAAATTATTCAAAGTTTAAAGCTAATGCTAGGCTGTTACCAATGGCTTAATTAGTGTTAAATCAACTCATTATTGTTTTAAACGTTTATTTAATGTTTTATATGTGCAATCTTGAATGCTTCTTGTTTCTTGTTTCATTTCTCTGACTGAATCTGCCGAAATTTGGATATTTTTATATATGTAAAACTCGCTTATATTAATGTCGTTTTCTATATATACACATCCCAGCCGCACACTATAAGCAATAATATTTTCTTAATTTGGTAATAGTTGGTAGGTTTTCTTTCCCTCTTTTGGCTGTATCATCTATTTATAAACATATAAAAATATATATATATATAAATTGAGATATGAGGTTGCAGTAGTTTTTGATAGTTCATTCCTTTTGATTTGGGTGGAGAGTCGTAAATGGTTGTTCAGTGGAGAGAAAAAGAACAAGTGAGTTGAAATAAATGATGAACGGTTGAGAGAGATCAAGATAGAGACCTGACTTTTTCTAGCTTTGCATGGTGATTTATATACATATACTCAGTGTTAGTGTCAGACCTAGGATGATGATGCCTATTTGTAGGTTGGTTGGATAAATAAATATGACGTTGGATAATAGACTTAGCTGATAGATCAAGTGGGCCAGCTAATAGTCATGTTAAGGAAATGTAGCTAGCTGAAATATATGAAACTCTAGAGGCTTTAGGGTTTGATAGGTAGAAGAATAACAGTGAAGGCGTGTTTTGAAAATGAGGTTTACAGGAGGTACAATACGTTTCTCCCTTGGTCGAGAGATGCCATAAAGTGATTCATCGAGACTTACAAAAGAAGATATTATATAATAGAAGATTCTTGAGACAAAAAGGGATCTAGAATGGAGGCATCTCAATGCTAGATATGTACAAGATGTTCATGACACTTTTGAAGAGATAATGAAGAAAATGAAAGCATCTTGACGTTCTACAAGAGCAATGAATATATTTCTATAGCCATAACGGAGACATCTCAACTCTCTATGGCTAGACAATGGAAAAATAGCAAAAAAATCCCTTTAGTTAGGTTAGAGGTGAGGTATCTTGAAGCTCTTAATCAGAGAAGATGCAGCTTTACGCCCTCGAATAAACACCTTAGAATGAGTAGAGACATCTTAACACTCTTTGGAGAAATATTACAGAATGAGCAAAAACATCTACACCTTGGTAGGAGCAATGGGGGATTCCTCTTGCTAGGGCAAAAGTATCTTGATGCTCTCTAAAAGTAATGGATAAATTCATATTGTTGGAGCAGAGATAACACTCTTTAGAGAATTCCTTATGCTAGAGTGGAAGACAACTCAATACCTTCAGAGAAACACTGTAGGAGGAACAAAGGCATCTCAATGCTAAATATATAATGGAAGATCTCTACACTCTTTATAAATACACTATAGATGGGATGGTGGCATCTCAATTCTCTATGAGTAGCAATGGAAAGACTCTTATTGCTAGAGCAAAGACATATAAACTCTATTGGCCAGAATGGAAGTAACTTGAAGCCCTCAAATAAACACTGTAGAATGAGTGGAGGCATATTGTTTCTCTCTGGTCAAACGTTATAGAATGGGCATAGGCCTCTTCACCTTGGTAAAAGACATAGGGAATTGTTTTTGTTAGGGAAGAGATATCATGACGCTTTTTAAAATACAATGGAGAAATTTATATTATTGGAGCATAGGTAACTCACCTTATAGTGAATTCCATAAGCTGCAACTCTATGCCCTTACAGAGATAGTGCAAAGAGGGGAGATATCTCGACGATCTCTAAAAAGCACTAGTAAAATGGACAGAGGCATCTCGACTCTCTTGGCTATATGATTAAGAGACCATTGAGAAATTCTTTTAGATAGTGTGGTGTGAAGGTATCACAACGTTCTTGGCTAGAGAAGAGACATCTCAAAGACCTTATAGAGAGACTAAAGAATGTACAAAAGTATCTTGACACTCTCTAAAGAAACACTACATAATGGGTAGAGACATCTCATCATTATATGTAAATAATAGAGGTTACTTACGTTAATATAGAGACAACGAGGATATACGCTTGGAGAATTCTAATTTTTAAGTGAAGGTAGTAAAACTTCGATGTTTACATGCATAAAAAATGTTTCAACTCTACTCAATATGTTAAAAGAAAGTTTTCCCTAGTAACTGTGTGAGAAATAGTCTTGAGGGTTATTATGGGAGCTCTTCCTATCATCATAGGTTAACCGTCAATTATCAAGGTGTGATCCCTTTTATATCTTAGAAAGATCCTTTATAATATATTTTTTGACCCATTTTAAAGATACTTTAGGTGATATAGTAACGTCGTGGTGATGAACATTCATTGTAGCAACATCTACTAAGGTGGTTTGACATATATTTGTCATCTTTTCTACTACCCAAAGAACATGAGCTTCGAACACCTTGATTAACTCTCAAAGACTCATAGAATCTCAATAGACGCCTCTGATTCTTTTTAGTCCACTAGATCTACAAGGTAAAATGTGAGGGAGTTGAAATCTAGTCTGTACTAGCTATAGATCCTATTTTCTCTACTTCAGCTTACATGTTGGCTATCTAATATAGTTGGTTGAATTTTTTACCTGTTGTCTATCAAGGTATACTTTAGAGGATCATGCCGATGTTCAGAGATGTACACTGAGATTACCCAATCATCTAAAAGGACATGGATGTTATACATAGCACTAGATAATGCCTTTATATAATCTCTTAAATCTCACTGGGTCCTTAAAATCATACTAAGTAGGCTGGTCTTTAAGCTATGTTGGCAAAAAATTGTTCAATGAACATATGTGACAACTGTTTGAAGTCCTCTATAATTTTCACGAGTACAAAATCATACTAATTCTTTGCTCCTCTATATAGAGTTGTAGAGAAGACTTTATATTTTAGCTAAACGAACCCCCCATAATATCTATATAGTTCATGTACTGAGATAGGTGCTTAAGGTCTCTAGTACCATCATAGGTCTCATTGAGCAACTTGAAGTGGAGAGGGTTAGAAATTTCTAGTGCAAAGGGTATAAGAGGAGTCTACTCTTCCATAACCTAATCTATTTTGGAGTTGTTTGAAGCTTGGAGATCATCGATATATCTTTGCATGATTTTTATTTGTATCTTAAATTCTTGCTCTCTTGGGACAACATGTTGAAGTACATATTCAATATTTGAGGTGAAACTATATCATCTGAAGTATTTAGATAACTAGTAACAACCTACTCTTGTTGGCACCTCTCTTTGATATTGAAGGCTTTTTCTCTTTCACCCCTTGTCACCTACTTTGGTGCTAGAAGATGAATAGCTATTGGAGAGCTTTTTTAGATTAACTCATTTTTCTCTTGGTTGTCCAATTGCAACTGCAGTTAGGCTGCGTAATAGGATTGGAACTGTGCATGTAGACTCTAACACCCTAATTTGATCCGACCCAATATGAAGGATTAGAGTATTACAAGGAACCACCAAATTGGCTAATATTTTTTTTCTTTAAATCAACGTCAAATATTAGATAAACATTCATCATTCAAAAACGTGCTTTAATACCAAATATAATAGGTTTAAAAAACTTGGGAGCTCCCAATAATACATCATAAAATGCAAGAGTTTATCAAATAGAGTTATAACTCAACATACATAAGGTTTATAAAATACATGCCCACTAAATACTCGAGACGTACTTTGATACTCGGTCAAGTATGGAATCTATGATCTGGTGATGAGCTCCTCGAACCGGTACCTAAGAACCTATGCTCGAAAATACATTTCGAACGTTAAGCTCACAATCTCAATATCACAAAAATAACACTAATATACTACATACATTCACCATATGAGCATGCTACATGAATAGTCAGGAACAAGAAGGTATATCAAACATAACACAATAAGCATATTGGTGTAGTTCAGGGTCGCATCAACATCACATAACTCACACCTCTATTTTCTTATAAAATGTACATTGGTTAAGATTTGGATCACATAGCGTTAGCATTTTACACTTTCATGGCGTTCGTCGCCAAGTACCTCAGGCGAAGTCTTGGTCACATAACATCAACACCCTACCCAACTTGTGTACTCCCATTGAGTACACAGGATGTGTCTAGATCACAAAACATTAGAATTATGTCCAATTAGCATTTTAAGTGCCCCTGCACTTGATCTGAATATATTTGAATATTCTTTACGTAACTAGACGATCATTATAAACAAGTGACTCGAGTGTCCTTATTATTTTTTGAGTATCAAACAAGGCATAAGTCTTATGTTATCAAACATTTTTTAAGGATTTTCAGTTGTAAGCATTTATTAATAAGTTCTTTTCGATCCTAAACCCTTTTCAGGATTCCTGATCAAAGCAACACTATAGACCTTGCATTTACAATGGTATTGATACTCAGTCGTATGGTAACTGTACTAATTTTCCTTATGTCATTGATACTTCACCGAGTATCGGTACCAAATTAGCATTTGATGTTTGTAAAAATGCCCTAATATTGATACCCCTACTTAGAGTATCGATACCACCCTCTCTTGTAGTATCGATACTACCATAGTGTTAATACCAATTTTGGCTACTAGAATTTAAAATTGTCTTCTAATATTGCTACCAAATCCTGAGTATCGATATCCTATGAACAATATCGATC